GGCAAATATAGTCTGAATCACTTATGATCCACCTGATTTAAAAAACGTTCTTGGACATTTTTTATTTTATTTTTTGTCAAATTGTATCGTCACGCTTTGCCCTCATCCCCCACCCCCGCACTGAAAATAATAAACTCATTCCCTGTTCATTATCCACCATTAAGAATTAATTTGATCATCACTGCGCTAATCTGCCTCGCGATGACCGCGCAGTGGAGGAGCGGAGGCCGGCTAATTGATTGACTAATTGATTGACTAATTGATTGGAGGAGGCGGATTTGGTGGTGGAGGAGAACAGGGTGGCTGAAGGTGCGCATGCGCGAGCGTGTGCCCTCTTTCCCACCTCTGTGTTCACTTCGGGCGCGCGCATCTTTCTGTCTCTCTGAGGTTGCGTCCGCCTGTGCTGGAGGGCAGCAGCCGCGGGGCCTTTTATTCGGACGCATTCTCCCGGTTTCATTGCTGTTTGTCACGCGGCAGAAACCCTCAGCTGGAATCAGTGCCAATATAAGCTGCATGCTGTAAGAGGGGGCGGGGGGCTTAGTTAATTGTGGCAYGAAGTTGCTGTTCCTGAAGATGACATCAGATTCTGGCGTCATCAGATGCGCCCTGGACCCGTGCGTAAAACATCCTCAGATGCAAACAGCTGCTAAACGGTCTTTACTGAGAAAAGGGGGGGTGAGAGGTGGAAATATATGAGAGCAGTGGGGCGGATGCTGGATTTATGGCGGTTACACACAAGGCGTGAAATCTGCAATGACAGTTGAATGGGTTTATTTTCCGTGCCGCTCTCTTCAGACGCGCGTAAAGCCGCCTTCAACGCTCTGCAGACGACTTGAACAAAGTGAGATAAGTTTATCGCGGAGCTGTGGTGGACACAACACGCTGCTGCTGTGCTGAGGAGTATAGATTACACGTGCTGCTCTGTTACAAGCCAGTCAGCGTGGTTCATTCTATTAGTATGGAAATGATCATCCATACACACACACCTCCTCACGTCTGCGCGTCTCAGGGCCTTAAAGAGAGGCCCCAAGCAGCAAGGAGCGGGGCCTATAAGCTCGTGCTCTATCACGATGATAGGTGGCGTTCGGCCGCCCTACCGCACGAACAGAACAAGATCTTTAGCAGGAGAAAGCTCTGAGAAAGACAGATGAAGTTATGAGGCGCTTTGATCCGAGAATCAAGCTTCGATAAATATTAAACAAAGAGCCCCTTTTTTTTACGCGCGCGCATTATGATATATGGCGTGTCCAAGTCTAGAATAAGGAAATTACCAGAGAAAATGATATCAATAAATTTTCTAAGTATAAACGTTGATTATGTTTCGATTTTCATTCAAGAAAGCGGGAGCTGCTCTTTTTTCAGGAGGCGTTTTGCGCGCGTCCGTGTGTGTGTGTGTGTATGTGTATGTGTGTGTGTGTGAAAGAGAGGGAAAGAGAGAGAGAGAGTTGTAAACGCAAGCAGAGCACCCGAGCCCTGGAGGTGTACAATTTATGTAATCTGAGTGTGGAAATGAACTGGGTAATTTATTGGAAAACACAAAGTCAGGAAGATTGGATCAGCACAGCCTATCCAAGGGCTCCTATCCATCAAGTTCCAATTAACAACCTAACCATTGAGTTTTAATGGCTTTCCAATCTACTGCCCTGATAGACTCATCAATTCCTCGGGGAGAAATTAAGAAAATCGACCGCCCCTCGGCGTTTCGGTGTCATTCTTCACAGCAACTATATGTCAAATTAAAAACACAATTAAAATTTAAACTGTTCCAATCAGACGGTGCTCCGCAACCTATGTTTCACTTAATGGAACTTTGATGAAAATCTGATGTTCGCATTCAATCAGGAAAGCAAATGGCGCGGGTTTAAAATAATAATAATTWAAAAAAAGTTTTCCTTCTTCAAGAGTTGTCAGATGGACTTGGTGAGTTTTGACGCAGAGACGAGACGTTCTGGCATCACTTGTGACTCGTTTGTGGTTATTGGTTGATCTGCAAGAAGAACTGTTTTCGGAGATTCCAAAACTTGTTTTTTTGYTCCAATGAACTCGAAGCAACAAGTCAAGATAATAAAATGGTTAGAAGAAACTTTTTAGGCCTTTTTTTGCCCTGATGACATCAAAAAAGTCAGCTGTGAGCAGACAGCAGCTGCAGAGAAAGAGGTGAGCATTATGCAAGGAGTTCAGGCCACTTGTGGGTTTCCAAACTGGCACGGGGAGTATTGTGATGGGACTGAAAATGATCCATTCATGCTCTCCATGTTAACGCACCGAGCACCGGTCCCGGTCAAGTCCGCTTGTCCCCCGTTCGCGCAAATGCGCTTTATCTGATTTTGGGCTCTCTTTACTTCCCCCCACCACCACCCCACCCTTTTTTTTTTTTACATAAAGATGTCGCACAAATGGAAATTATCGAGTGGTGTGTTTTTTTTTTCAATTTATGCGCGCAAATCAAGGTCACGAGCTGAGCCGAAGCAGCGCGCGAACGTTGCTCTTTTTTTTTTTTACATAAAGATGTCGCACAAATGGAAATTATCGAGTGGTGTGTTTTTTTTTTCAATTTATGCGCGCAAATCAAGGTCACGAGCTGAGCCGAAGCAGCGCGCGAACGTTGCTCTTTTTTTTTTTTACATAAAGATGTCGCACAAATGGAAATTATCGAGTGGTGTGTTTTTTTTTTCAATTTATGCGCGCAAATCAAGGTCACGAGCTGAGCCGAAGCAGCGCGCGAACGTTGCTCTTTTTTTTTTTTACATAAAGATGTCGCACAAATGGAAATTATCGAGTGGTGTGTTTTTTTTTTCAATTTATGCGCGCAAATCAAGGTCACGAG